AACTTCAAACCAAGAATGATCAAAGAGATAAAGAAGGTCTTTACATACTGGTTAGGGGAAAACTTCAAGAGGAAGAGTTAACAATCTTAAACATATATGCACCAAATTCCAGAGCACCCAGTTATATACAGCAAGTATTAAATAGAAATGAAAAACCAAATTAGCAGTAACACAATTATAACAGGAGATCTTAGCACACCATTGATACCAATGGACAGATCAACCAGACAGAAAGTCAGCAAAGAAATAACAGAACTGAATCACACCAGTGAACAAATGGACTTGATAGACATATACAGAGTGTTCCATCCAACAACATCAGAATACACATTCTTCTCAGGAGTACATGGGTCATTCTCTAAAACAGACCATATACTAGGCCACAGAATGTGTTTAAATAAATGCAAAAGAGTTGAAATTATCCCATGCCTGTTATCAGATCATAGCGCTTTGAAACTAGAAATTAATGATAAAAGAAACTGCAAAAATCCCACAAACATATGGAAATTGAATAACACACTCTTGAGCAATCAGTGGGTCACAGGGGAAATTAAAGAAGAAATTAAACAACACCTACAAGCAAATGAAAATACAAATACTACTTACTGGAATCTGTGGGATGCAATGAAAGCTGTCCTCAGAGGAAAATTTATTGCACTGAGTTCCCACATCAGGAAAATAGAACAAATACAAATAAATAACCTGATGTTATACCTCAAACATCTAGAGAATGAGCAAGTCAGGCCCAAAGCCAAAAGAAGGGAGGAAATTATAAAAATCAGAGCAGAAATTAAAGCAATAGAGATTAAGAAAACAATCCAAAGAATCAATGAATCAAAGAGTTGATTCTTTGAATGGACAAATAGATAAGCCCCTAGTGAACCTTATTTAAAAAAGGAAAGAAAATCTCAAATTTATACAATAAGGAATGAAAAGGCAAAATCACTACAGACTCTGTAGAAATACAGAAGATCATCCACACCTATTTTGAAAACCTCTGCTCTCATAGGTTTGAATAGCACAGAAGACATAGACAGATTCTTAGAAACATGTGAAGTACCAAAGCTAGGTCAAGAAGATGTAAAACTGCTGAATAACCCAAATTCTGTTAATGATATTGAAAATACAATTAAGTTCTTACCTACAAAGAAGAGCCTAGGTCCAGACGAATTCACTGTGGAATTCTACAAGAAATACAAAGAAGACTTAATGTTGACACTCCTCAAACTCTTCAGTGAAATCGAAAGGGAAGCAGTTCTTCCTAAGTCATTCCTGGAAGCAAATATTAATCTAGTACCAAAACCTGAGAAAGACCCAACTAAAAAAAGAGAACTACAGGCCAATCTCTCTAATGAACACAGATGCAAAAATCCTCAATAAAATATTGGCAAATAGGATGCAGCAAATCATCAAGAAGATTATACACCATGACCAAGTGGGATTCATCCCAGGCATGCAGGGATGGTTCAACATATGTAAATCAATAAATTAATCTACCATATCAATAAAGCCTAAGGTAAGAATCACATAATCATTTCTATAGATGCAGAAAAAGCTTTTGATAAGGTCCAACATTCATTCATGATAAGAACCTTACAGAAAATTGGAATAGATGGTCTTTACCTCAATATGATAAAGGCCATCTATGACAAACCAACAGCCAATATTGTACTAAATGGCCAAAAACTGAAGGCCTTTACGTTAAAATCAGGCACAAGACAAGGATATCCCTTATCACCACTCCTATTTAATAAGGTACTGGAAATGCTAGCCAGAGCAATTAGACAAGAGAGAGAAATAAAGGGGTAAAGATAGGAAAAGAAGAAGTTAAAGTACATTATTTGTGGATGACATGACACACTACATAGAAGACCCCCAAAACTCCATTGAAAGACTCCTAGATATAATAAATTCAGCAATGTAGCTGGATACAAATTCAATACTCAAAAATCAGTAGCATTCTTATACACTAACATCAAAATCACAGAGAGAGAAATAAGAGAAGCCACACTCTTCACAATAGCAAACAAACAAACAAAAAAGAAATACTTAGATACTTAGGAATTATTATCGTGAAAGAAGTGAAAGATCTATATAAGGAAAATTATAATTCCCTAAAAAAGAAATTAAAGAGGATCTCAGAAAATGGGCAGACATTCGTTGTTCATGGAAAGGAATAATAAATTTTGTGAAAATGGCTTTTCCCTTAACTGTTATACAGATTCAATGCAGTCCCAATAAAAACACCATCAACATACCTCATAGATCTAGAGAAATCACTTCTAAATATCATCTGGAACCAGAAGAGACCTAGAATAGCAAAGACAGTACTAAGCAGCAAATGCAAGGCTGGAGGCACCACACAGTCCCTGACTTGAAGTTATATTTCAAAGCAACTGTAGTAAAATCAACATTCTAGGGTACTAGAATAAAAACAGAATCAACAAATTCTAGGGTACTAGAATAAAAACAGACCTGAAGATCAGTGGAATAGATTAGACGATACAACCATAACTACAAACACACTCAACAACCTTATCTTTGATAAAGGGGCCACACATGTTCACTGGAAGAATGACAGTCTCTTTAATAAATGCTGCTGGAAAAACTGGCTCTCCATATGCTGAAAACTAAAGCTATACCCATGCCTATCACCATGTACTAAATTAAAATCTAAATGGATCAAAGATCTGAATATTAAAACAGAAACACTAAATCTATTGGAAGACAAATTGGGTAAAAATCTTGAAGACATAGGGGGAGGTAGAGAATTCATGAACAGGACTCAAACCACACGGGAAATACTTCCCAGAGTCAATAACTGGGATCACCTCTTATTAAAAAGTTTCTGCACATCAAAAGAAATCTCCAGCATAGTGAAAAGAAAACCCACAAACTGGGAAAAAACCTTAGTGAACTGTCCCTCAGACAAAGGACTTCTGTTTAAAACATATAAAGAATTTTAAAAAAATCAGACCCTCAAAGATTGAATTTGCATTGGAAAGATCCAATCCAAAAATGGGCATCTGATATGAATACACAATTCTCAGATGAAATACAAATGGCAAAATAAATACATGAAAAAATGTTCATCATCATTACTCATTAGAGAAATGCAAATTAAAACCACACTGAGATTCCATCTCACTCCTGAAAGAATGGCCAGGAACAAGAAAATTACCAAATTACCACCAACACATGCTGGAGAGAAAAAGGAACTCTCCTGCACTGTTGGTGGGAGTGTAGACTGGTGCAACCACTGTGGAGGTCAGTCTGGAGATTTCTCAGAAAGCTGGGATTGGAAGTCCCATTTGTTCCAACTATTCTACTTCTAGGCATATTGCCAGAAGAACTGAAAGCATCATACCACAGTAATGTATGTGCACCCATGTTTATAGCAGCACAATTTGTAATAGCCAGATCTTGGAAACAACGCAAGTGTCCATCAACTTGATGAATGGATAAAAAAGTTGTGGTACTTTTATACAATGGAGTAGTACTCAGCTATTAAAGAAGGATCACATTGAGATATAAATAAATGGACCCAGTTTGAGACATACTTATAAGTGAAATAAATCAAACTCACATGTTTAAATACTGAATAGTTTCCTTAGGGTAAGAAATGGTAAGAATACATAAAAATATGTGGTAATCATGATTCCCTATTATATTGCTCTGAAGCCTTATAATGTCATTCATTAATTGGAATGGTTTTATTCTGGGTTGATTTTGTTGTCTGTGATGATATGAACAGCTATTTTGAAGGAAACAAAACATCAAAATAGCTAGTGCTGATTTAATATCATCTTGTTTTGAAGTCCCATCAAGTTTTTGCTCTTTTGTCTCCATTGGTTTTATCATGTTGTATCTTATTGGATTTTATTATTTTGTGATACTATAAACAAAAATTTTTATAGACAAGGAGATAGTATAGAAACCATTGCTCATTTTCTGTTAGTTGGTTCTGAATACCCTGTAATACTTTCATTCTCTTGAATGATTTTACACTGTCTTGCTATGTTTGATACTATAGTGTGTGAAGGTATACTCAAATATTTCAAAGAAAGAGACACTATGGTAGTTACTGTTAAGTTAGATTGTCTTGTGATAAAACAGTATGTTGCTTAAATTGTTCTGTTCTGATCTGTTTTGTTATGTCCTCTTTTATTTTAATTTTTTTAAGTAAAAAGAAATCATGTTTGTAAAGAATTGTTTATATTCTTCATAAGAAAATATTACGTGAAAGGTGTCATTATAGGACATTACATGAATAAAATGGGGAATAAAATGTGTATAATATGATCCTAGTGTTGTTTTAAAAAGCATACATGTATGTGTTTGTGTATATATATATGTGTAGGGTACACACATGTGGGAGACACAGCTAATAACATTTGTCTTTTAATGATCGTTAGAAACTCCAATATATATTTTTCAAGTCAGAAAGAAGGTAATGAATAGATTGGAAACAGATTGCTATTGTGGACTGGGGCCTCTCAAAGAACCTCTGGTGAAGGACAAGATTTTATAATTTATAGCACAGCATGCACTTATGCATGGTCTTGTTGCATGCAAGTTATGTTGTTTGTAGCACTTGATAATATCTGAATTAATCCATACTCACTTCAACAAGGCATGTCCATCCATCATGGACTTGAATATCATAGCTATATCCTATTGCTGTAAGTTTCCAAACATTTGTTTTCAATTTTTCTGCTTACTTTTTCACATACTGCTAAGACTATAGCAGCGTGGTTCCTTGGCCCGACTGAGTAACACTGGTGTAGACCCCTTTTTTGGAGCAGGTGGCACTTGGGGGAGGGTAGTTGATAGTAATGCCTACCATATGTTTGAAGACGACTTTTGTTTACAGAGAACTGAGGCATTTGCAGCGCCTATCACTTAGAAGTATTTAGAATTACAGGTCTTCATCATTTATTCTATCACAGTTGACTGCAGCTGGTCTCAGTTTTGCTGTGTCTCTGCCTCTGTTTGTACAGGTTATGGCTTGGAAGTGGACATGTGGGCTGCTGGCGTGATCCTCTACATCCTCCTGTGTGGCTTCCCTCCATTCCGCAGCCCAGAGAGGGACCAGGATGAACTCTTTAATATCATCCAGCTGGGCAACTTCGAGTTCCTTGCCCCTTACTGGGACAATATCTCTGATGGTGAGTTCTGTACTTCCATATGCAGGGGAGAAGAGGGGTTGGTACTGAGAGGCCTCCTGGGTTCTGACCACAAAGCAGGTTTTCAGATGTGTGAAAAGCCACACAGAAGGTGTCTAGCTTGGAGCTGGACTGCAACATGTCATGCCTAAACCTTTCTTTGCTCAGCAGCCTCATGGAAGTTTGTGTAGTAGCCCTTCCAAAGTATGACTTTAAAATTTAAAGAGAAAATCTAACCACCAGTTGCAGTCACCAAGTGCTTTTCCTTAAGGCAATTAAAGAACCTCAGGTTCTTTAATCAAACAGTTTTCCTTTGGAAAGAGGAAAGCCATTTTATATATACCAGAAATATTCATGAATAAAATAGACTGAAGATAGTTAAGTACATATGAATAATCAAGAGTCCTGGAGCATATTTGCTACATGGGGCTCTTCAAGAGAGAAAAGGAGTGAAAGTCCCCATCATTTGCATTGTTTTCTTCCTTTTGAGCCCTTAATTCTATTTGATTCCAAAGAGAGTCTTTCCCTTGTGTCTACTGATTTGTTTTACTGCATATTGACATTGTAAAATTGAGAACTAGATACTTTGGGCTTTTGAGTCTTTGAATCTTCAGTTTAAAAAGTCAGAGTGATGCATCCGCCTCCTTATTTCCCTAAACATGCCATCCATCATCAGTTACTGAATTCTCCCATCCCCAGCCTCTGTCTCCTCTCTGAGATTAGGGGCTGAAGGGAGGGAAAGCTTTGCCTTCCTCCCGTAGACAAGGTAGGGAGGCGCGACTGGCTGAAGATAGAGTGAGGCTCTTGAAATGGTGGTATCAGGGACAAGTGGAAACTGAAGGACAAAACATTTGGGAAAATCGTGCGCACTGTTCCCTTAGATTTAGGCAGCCTGTGCTGCACAACAAGTTTAAGACTACCCTGCACTACATATCAAGACCCTGTCTCATAAAAATATAAAAAATAAAAGAAATGTAAAGGAAAAACTTCACTGTTTAAAAATCTTTATTGAGGAATGCCCCTTGCTCAAAGTTAGCTGCTCACCTATCAACCCCCCACCCCACCCCACTGTCCAGCCACCTCCTGAGCACAGAAACTCCATGATTTCTCCTCCAAAATCACACAGTTCAAGCCAGGAAAATTATGCCCACAGGTGTCCAGGCCCCACTGCTACCAGCATCAGTCCTTAAAGGTGCACAGAAGACTCAGTGGTTGGAAGGCAGATAATACCCAGACTCTCACACATGTGTGTGGACAAGCAGACACCCTACCCCAAGGTCTCTCTACCCTCCAGCCAGCCATCCCATGCTTACCCTTTGGTGAAATGGCTTGTGCCATTGGGACAGGAAATTGTGAGGTCCTGATTAAAGTAGTCTAAAAGAAGGAATCTGGGCTTTGGGGTATGTGGGCATTATCCCCTCCCTTAGTGGGGATAATGTAATCAGAACAAGATCCTTTATGCATGGGGCCAGAACAGAGGCCACCCATGGACCAATCTCAAACTCGAGGCAATGCTTCTGCCTTAGCCTCCTGAGTGCTGGGGTTATAGGCATGCACCACTCTGCCTGGATACTTGTGCATTATTTTAGTGATTGGAAGAACAGACTCCTTGAGCCAGGCTAGAAGCATCAGCAGACCAGGGAGGGATCATTCCTCTGCTCCACTGCCACTTGGCCTACCACGTATCACCACATCTCTCTAGGATAAGCCATGGTCCTGGGCAGAAAATAAAATTAATTTTGAACTTAAATTGCTTCACAGAATTCGTCTCGTCAGTTTTGTCCATATGTAGACATATTTATCAACTTAATAAGAGTGAAAATATATTAATAAAAACTTGTTAATTTGAGTTAAAATGTTAAAGCATTTTAGCTATAACAGGCAACGTCCACTATTCTAGATGTTAGGTGTGGCTTTGACTCTGATTCTAGAGAAATGAACAGACATACATTCTCTAAAGCTGGGTTGTTCAACATAGTACCCCCTGTGTACACATAGCTAAATTTAAATGTGGATTCTTTCAGAGAAAATAAAACTTCTGTTCCTCATTCTTACCAAGTTTCAAATCCTTCATAATCACATATAGATTGAGCAGGTCTAGAGTGTGTCCATTCTGGATTAGATTGCACTGCACTAGACTATGAAAGAACATGGATGTTATGTGTTCTCATTTCATGAATGGGGAGGAAAAATTCAGAACCACCTGCATTCACCACATTTCCCCTCTTTGTCTCACCCTCACAGCTGCCAAAGATCTGGTAAGCCGATTGCTGGTGGTAGATCCCAAAAAGCGCTACACGGCCCACCAGGTTCTTCAGCATCCCTGGATTGAAACAGCTGGAAAGATCAGCAGGGTGGACCCACAGAAGGAAGTGTCCTCCAGCAGTGAGGGCCATAGCTGGAGCCAGCACAAGAGGATCATGGAGCAGGCATCATAGTCAGTGCCTTGGTCATCGGTTCCACTCTATTTCTGCTTGAGGATGGAGAAGAGGGTTGAAGTCTGGGAGAGAAACAGAATCTTCTTCATATAATTGGAGAACCAGGAGAGATGCTCAATGTATTTTAAAATGAATATAAAAAATAAGCGGAGTCCTAATGTTAAATGTAACATATTTTTAGATTTGTGTATTTAAGGCCTTTAATACAATTTTTTTTTGGTAAGAGTCATCATCAGTGAGAAAGTTTTGCTAATCATGATGTGTTTTGCTTCCTTGTAATGCAGTTCATGGTGTACTACATGAGTGGTGCTTTCTAGTGTCTAAACTCCCCTGTTCAATTATTGAGGTGAATCATGGCCTTTCTGTGTTAATAAAACATGCTCTGAATAACAGACAGGGATCTGTATTCTGCTTACTTTTAGATGTTCATGAGAGCTGGAGAGTTCATTTGAGATGTGCCTCCCAAAGCCAAGAGGCCTACATATGAATGTGGTGGACACTTGATTAACTGGCGAGATCTATTTATATTTTGAGTGTGTCAGTGAAGTTCTCTAAAATTTCATTCTGATCCAAAATTAGATATAGTGCAGTCTGAAAGACAGAAAGAAGAAATACTGTATCTTTCTTACGTCCGCTATGACCAGTTTCCAGTCACATTGTCCCTGAGCCCGAGTTACTTCACATTACATGAAGTCAGGCACTCAGACTGTGTCACTGTTAAGATTTTTCAGATCACCGGGGAGCTATTTAGATCACTAACATGTCAGAGATACAATAAGTGGATTACACAGAGGGCTTGAAGGAACTCCATATTTGGGCACCTTCCCACTTGCAGGGTATACACACAGAGGACACAGAACACATGTTTCAGATTTCAGATGACTCTGGGAGTATATGAACTGCAAGCAGGACCTGTCCTGATATTCTCCACGTTGACATGTCCACTTTATGTGTACTGGTCAGTCAGCCATAGTGAGGCTTTTTGCCCATATTCTTCCTTTTCTATCCATTTTGGAGTCATCTAGGTAGAGAAGTGTGAAAATGAACAGTATTAGAGAACTTTTTTAAAGACAGGATTTCTGCTATGCCATTCAGGCTGGCATTGAACTCACTGTAGTACAGGTTGACCTCAGACTTGCAGCGATCCTCCTGCCTCGGCCTCCCAAGTGCTAGAATTACAGGTATGTGCCACTATGCTTGCCAGAGAATTTAGTAAAAGGTATTCTTCAAACAGGAATTAGAGGATGGAAAAAGCACAAAGACAGCTCTGCAGTAATTTAGAGATAGTCAATAAAGTAGCTTTCATTCCTAGATAAAGACCCAAGGGAAGAGGCTGGGGTTATGAGAACCTAGAAGCTTGGGGAGTCCACTCCTTGAGGTGGACATTGCCATGTGCTGCCTAATTCTTCCTTCAGAGATGGAGGGAACAAGCTGCTTAGGATGCTACTGTCTGACAGCCCTCAGCTGTACAGCAATTGCCTGTAGCTGGAAAGGGTTATGGATCTTTCCTGGGGCATGTCTCATCCCATAACTCACCTCCCATAACTCACCGTAGGGAATAACGGCTTAGAAACTTTGCCCAAGCTGGAGAAAACACTGAAGGACCTTGGGGTGACTGCATCACAGCTTAACTTTTCCCTGTACAATTTTGCTTTTTCTCTACCAGAGTTGATAAACTTAATGATACTCCCTAATAAGCTTTTGTATGTGAATTTGGGTCTCAGAGTAGCTTGCTAGAAAATCAAGTGCATGGCATCTTCCAGAAATCTGGAACTGCTGCAAAGAGATGCCAGTTGGTGCTTTAGGCCTAGGAGCCCAAAAAAGAAGCCCCTTGGAGCTGAGAGGCAAGCCCTGTGCAGACAGTGTGGCTCAGCAGGCTGTGCAATGGTACTCGCTCTGGAAACATGAAAGAGGCGGGAAGCTGTATCTCTTTCATACTAGAACACCTTCTGATAAAGGGACAAATGACCTCCGTGTCATGAAATTCAAAACATAGTTTTCAATGATCGTATTACTATCATTTGAATCCATTGATCACTCTTTGAGTTATTTCTACTGCTGAATGATTGCTACTGTGAGTTATTTCTGGAGCTCTTTGAGGTCTGAGAGTTTACCTCCCTGGACATCGTCCCTCCCTTGTTTCATTCCCTTAACGCTGTCCTCACTATCAGGAATGATTTTATTTGAGTCTTTTTTTGTCTACTTTTCTTTTCACTTCCCTCTACTAAAATATAAACACCAGGAGTGCAAAGATTTTCTGTGATGACACATTTTCCCAGTTTTTTTTCCTTTGGATCTCATCAGTTCAGCCTTCTAATAGCTAAAAGGTGTACTTCCATTCTTAATTATTCAGAAAATGCAAGTTAAAATCACAATGAAATATCATTATATACCCAATAGAATGGCTAAAATGAAAAGACTGACCATACCACTTATGATTGGGAATGTAGAAACACTGCAATTTTTGTACATTGCTGATGGAATATAAAACTACTACTTTTGGGTAATAGTTTGTTCCTTAAAGGTTAGATACATATCATCATATGATCTAGCTATTCTACCACTAGCTATCTGCCTTGTAGAAATTAAAGAATGTCTTACAAAGATTTCATAGTATTTCATAGGTGTTTTATTTGTACATTAGTAGCCTAAAAATGGAAACACCTGGAATATCTATAAATTGGTGAATGGGTAAACATGATGGAATCTCAATACAATGAATAATTTTCATCCATAAGAAGGCATTAAGTACCGATATACGAACCACAGGATTGAACTTTCAAATAATTAGGCTGAATCAGTGAAGTCAGACAAAAGTAAAACAAAACAAAACAAAACTCTCCAAACCAAATGATGCTGATTATTACATTTATGTACACTTTACAAACTTACTTAGTTACTTTATGCTCGTTGCTGAGACAAAATACCTGAAGCCCAAGTTGGGAAAGGAAAGGTTTATTTCTTGCAGTTTTTGGAGGTTTCAGTCCATACTCTGTTGGCTCCAAGGCAGGCAAGCATGGCTGGGCCGCCGTTCATGGCGGCTGCAAAGAGCAAACAGCAAGCTCGAACCAGCAAAGAGCAAGACACACCTTCTTCCTGCCATTACACCACATCCTGGCTCCACCCCCATGTGGGTGGAGCACTGACACCATCAATCCAAGCACTATGTGGAAGCCGTCTTACCCTCAGAATCATCACGAATGAACAATGCAAACTCATGAGGCCTGGGGGACACAGACATAAACCATGACATTCCACCCCTGGCCCCCAGGACTCATGTACATCATTTATACAAAAGACATTTAGTCCACCTCCAAGAGTTGCCAAAGTCCTAAAAGTTTCAGCATTGCTGAATAATCCAAGTCCCAAGTCTCCTCCAACATCTATGGCAAACTCTTAACTGTAACCCCTGTACAAATGAAACAAGGTTAAACATTTCTGAAATACAAAGGCACAAGATAAACATTACTATTCCAAAAGTTACAAACAGGGGAATATAAAGTATTGGAAACAAAGCAAGTCCAATATCCAGCAGGGCAAACATTAAGTCCTAGAGTTCTATGCTCAGCATCTGAAGCAGTCTGGTTGCAAGCTCCAAAAAGCTTGGGTGATTCCACCCGCATGGCACTTCTGGCGGTTTCAACTTCCGCAGCTTTTCTCTTAAATCTTCTCTGCTCACTTTTTGCAGCTTTCCTTGGATCATCCATGTTCCTGGCTTTTTCAAACTTCTGGGGTCTCCACTGCACCTTTGACTTCACCTTTACATCTTCACAAATTGCCCTCTCAGGGGCACACTGCTTGGCCTGCCAGGCCCTTTGCAATCGAGGTGGAAGCTGTCTTACCCTCAGAATTTGTGCATTTTCCTTGCACCTAAAATCAGCACCTTGTGGATGCCGCCAAGGTTTGCTGCTAGCTGAAGCAGTAGCCAGGCTTTTCTCTCTCTTGGCTGTAGGGGTCAGTTGCCTGAATCACAGGGCTCTGTTTACCTGATTGTGAGAAAATCTTCTCTGTGTTGTCACCATTCTGGAACCTCATGTGGCCACTGTCACCATTCTGGAACATGGCGCTCTGAAGCTTTTCCCTCTGAGCAAATTTTTTCACCTTTGCTGTGAGGCTGCACAGGGTGGGGACCTGCTTCCTGGGATATCCCAGGCCCATCTTTCTTATCTCTCTGTTTCTCTTCAGGAATCAAAATCTCAACTCTGTCTTTACAATCTATAGCCTTCCTGGAATTTTCCAAACTCACAGTATTGGAAATTATCCTGCTGGGCTCTTTGCTCTTGATTCGAAACATAAAGCTGGCTGAAAGCCCCCAACAATAGCCATGCCACAGCCTCAATGTTTGATTGCTTTTAAATTTCTTTTTCAAGATTAATCAGTCCATTGCCCTTTGTCTCAGTCTCAGACAAAGTCTCTGGGCAGGAGCAAAATGCAGACAAACTTTCTGCTAAGCCATAACACACATCATGTGGAGTCCAACATCCAATGCAGTCCTTCCCAGCAGAAACCTCCCAGGCCTGGTCTTTACCATCTGGCTTTCTATCAGCCTTGTGGTCTCCTGAGCTCTGACCAGAATCTCCTCTACAGAACAGCCTAAGCTGCTCCAGCTCTATGCATCCAGGTGACATGTCTTAACTGTTCCAAACTCTGCCCACAAACCATTTCCAAAGCCTCTCAAAAAACATGGTCAGGTATAGTCACAGCAAATGACCCCACTCCTCGGTACCAAATTCTGTCTTAGTTACTTTTTGCTTTATTGCTGAGACAAAGTACCTGCTGCCCAAGTTGGGAAAGGAAAGGTTCATTTCTTACAGTTTTTGGAGGTTTTAGTTCACACTCAGTTGGCTTCAAGACAGGTGAGCGTGGCTGGACTGCAGTTCACGGTGGCTGCAAACAGCAAAAAGGAACCAGCAAAGAGCAAGACACACCTTCTTCCTGCCATTACATCACATCCTGGCTCCACCCTTATGTGGGTGGAGCACTGACATCATCAATCCCAGCACTAGACAATGAACCATTACAAATGAACAATGCAAACTCATGAGGCCTGGAGGACACAAACATAAACTATAAACAAACTAACCTATTTGGAAGGCAGATCAGATGTTGCCTTGTGACCAAGATGGGGAGAGTAGGAAAAGAGGAATTACAAAGGGATACCTTTTCCCATTGTGAATGATGGATCCATACATTATCTTGATGTAATAACAATCCACAGATGTATACATGTCAAAACTTATTAAACTGAATAGTTTTGGTACATGCAATTTGTTGTGTGTCTGTTATACCTCAATAAAACTGTGAAAATATGGTTGTAGTTTCTCACAGTGCAGTCCTGGATTATCTTCTCTTTCTCTGTATTTTCCCTCTCACCAAGTGTCATCTACACTTT